AAACGATCACAATAAATCCGTTCCTGCTCTTTGCCAAACTGAGGGATAAAGGGGAGCAGTAAGGGATGATGTCCCGAGGCATTCAATAACAGAATGTCGCTCCTCTTCGGCGTCCTCGTCCACGTCCAGATCCTGCGAGAAGACATGTGGAATTGGATGGAGCTCTTCAACCGACGAGCCGGGATTTAACGATTTCTAATAGATTTCTGTGAGTGGTAGAGCGAGAGAACTCCAAACGGTGGAAAGAGGGTCTTTGTCGAAGATTTTAGATTGTGTTTGGTGTATGTGGCGAGAGGTTCGGAATAAAAATGGGAAATATTGTAGTTTGTCTACTTTGTCATCCTCGAAATCAGTCGAAAGTACAAGATATTCTACGAATGACAGACAGTAAAACAGCTGTTACCTAAATAATGATAGTTTAGGCACTTCAATTCATACAATATCTTTTGACATGTTGCACATTTTTAGATTTAATTTAATAACGTCAGGATTGAAATGGTTTGCGCAACTGGGTTCGTACTATAAACTAATGGTTATGATTTACCCGTTTGAATTTTTGGTTCCTAAAACACAGACATTTTATTAATTAAGCTTGAGATCTGTAGATGGTTGATTTAATTAAAATTGTATCTTTTTGTTACAGGGAGCTTCATCTAGCTTAGTAGTAAAGTTCGCCGATACGGAAAAAGAGCGCCAACTCCGACGTATGCAGCAGATGGCTGGAAACATGAATCTCCTTAATCCATTTGTGTTCAACCAGTTTGGAGCTTACGGAGCTTATGCACAGGTATGGTATTTTTATATTTTTTAATAACCAAAAACAAAATTGATATAAGGTTGAATGCTCGAATGAATGAACTTTGATCAAGTAAAAGGCAAATATCGAGCACGGTTTAATTATTTTAATCTTACCCAAGTACTTTAGCTCCCTAGAGCATCTTCAGGGGCATTTCGTCAAATGTGGCCTATCCGACAAAAATAAAATGTTCTAAACAAAAAATGGTATTTTTGTAATGGCACTACACTGCGTAAGGACAAACACATTAAAATTATTAAAAATAGGCAAAGCTACATTGTGTAAGGTTTTTGTCTCCTGCTTACTTACACAATGCTCTAGGGAGCGAAAGTACTTGGCCAAGATTAAATTAACTAAACTCTGCTCGATATTTGCCTTTTCCTTGATCAAAGAAAAACAAAATTATACTTAGACACTAGTAGTAGCTATATAATTCTGAACAAGAGTAAACACCATCAACATTTTTAAAAACATATAATGCTAAAGTGTAATGTATTCTCTCTCTTCAATCCTGACCCCCCAGGGGGAGTGTAGTGGTCGACGTGATGTCGTGTATTGTTTGTCTCCAGAGATCTCTGTCTCTGGTCATTTCTTTTAATTCATGCATAGGTCTTTGGCATATTCCTATAATTTGATCTATCCATCTTGTTGGGGATCTTCCTCGTGATCTTCGGCCTTCTACCTTTCCTTGTATTATGAGTCTTTCCATGTTTTCTGTGTTTGCTCTCATAACATGCCCAAAATATTTTAATTGTTGGAGATGGACTTTACTAGAGAGTCGTTGGTTAACTTTTAGCTCTCTTAAAATTGAATTATTTGTTCTGCGGTCGGTCCAAGGAATTCGTAACATTCGTCTCCAACAGAACATTTCAGTGGCGTCTATCTTTCTTCTCCCCGATTGTCTCAGAGTCCAAGATTGACATCCGTAGGTCAGTATTGGAAATATTAAGCAGTTGATCAACCTCATCTTTATCGCTCTTGAAATTTGACAGTCCTTCCATATTTTGGTCATTTTTGCTGTGGCAACTTTTGCTAGATCACATCTACGTTTAATCTCTTCTTGTAATGACCCTGTGTTTGTGATTAATGATCCCAGATATAAGTATGAGCTCACAACCTCGAACCGGTCAATTGTGGTTATGTGTGGATGATTGTTGTGTAGTCTATTCACTATCATGATCTTTGTGTTTGATATGTTTAATTGCAGACCAAATATTTGACTTTCGTTTTCGATCAGTCGTGTAAGTTCTATCAGCTCTGCTTGACTATTTGCAAGAAGGGCTGTGTCATCTGCGAAACGTAGGTTGTTTAGTTTATGACCATTTATTGAGATGCCCTTTTCCCATCCTTCAAGTGCTCTTCGCATAATATACTCCCCATATATGTTGAATAATTGTGGAAATAGTATACATCCTTGTCTGACACCCCGTTCTGGATGAAATTCGTTCGAAAGTGTGTCAAGTACTTTAACTGATCCAGTAGTGTGTTCATATAGTTCGGTTATAAGCGTAATTAGATGTTGTGGTACGCCTACTTCTTTTAGTATTCGCCATAAGTGTCTCCACTTGACCCTGTCGAACGCTTTACGGTAATCTATAAAACAGATGTATAGTGGGATGTTGAATTCCCTAGATTTCTCGATTATCTGTCTTATATTCAGCAGGTGTTCTCGAGTGTCTCTACCTTTGGTAAATCCAGTTTGCTCTTGTGGAATTTCTCTTTGAAGGAATGTTTTCAGTCTCTCATTGATTATATGTAGCATTATCTTGCTGGCATGGGATATGAGAGAGATAGTTCTATAATTGTCGCATTTATGGAAGCTGCCTCTTTTATGTATGGTCGTTATTGTAGATTTTGTCCAGTCTTCAGGCCATTGTTTGGAATGCCATATTTGGTTACAGAGTAGATGAAGTAACTTTACGCCGGTTTCTTCTGTGGCTTTAAGCATTTCTGCTGTTATCATATCTGGACCTGGTGCTTTGTTATATTTGAGCTTGTTGACTGTATGTATTAGTGGCTAACAAATCATTTTTAGAACTCCTTTTTCGTTTTTGTCAATAAAGTGGTTAGGTAAAGAAAAAAAAACACTTTGAAAAAAAAACGGGTGTGACTTGGGTCTTTATGCTAATTCTTTAGTATTTATATAAGACAAACCTTATTAAGAAGAAATCGAAAGCTTCCGAATTAGTCAGATTTGGAGGAGATCATATACTGGAGAACGACTTTGTAGTCTTTCAATATTAGTACAATTTTTTCTTGCTAGTTATTATTTTTCTTACAGTTTTTCTTCATATCCATTGAATTCTGACAAACAACGCTGGGGGAAATATTTTTTGGACATCATCTACGTCACGGAACAAGATACTAACCATGTTCCGGCTAAAACCGTAATCATTGTTCCGGAGAGGTGGTCTTGCCACTCAATAAACAACTAAAATAAAAAAGAACCTAAAAATTTATTAATATCGATACCTGTTACCATAAATCAGAAAATGTTTAGATGTTAGGACATAAACTAATAAATAATATTGACTATAAATTTTTAGATCCCTGGCTTAATTTCCTCCCCTGTTTCCTGCTCCTTTTTCTTCATCACCCCAGAAATTAGACAGTGTACTTCTCTCCATTCTTTCTCTCCTCTCAACATTATGCTAACAATGTTTCTTTGATCCAGCCCGAAACCCATTCACCTCTAGAAATTTTCCATCTCATTTGCCCATCTCTGGTAGTTACAAATGTGGGCGGGAGCGTCCGGTACCCCGCAAACAGTACAATCTACCGAGGCAGATTTGCTTACTCTATTTGTGAAGATGCCAAAACTACCATGTCTGGTCAAAAACTGCGTCAGGAAGTAGTCTAGTTTCCTGAACTTATATTCCCACCACGGTCTCAGATCGGGATAAGGATCGGTCTAAGCTCGTTCGTCCACCTTGTCTTTACATCATTATTCGCCCATTCTCTCTGCCACTCTACTATGGTTCTTTCTTTCTCGTTCTCATGTATATTTACATCCATCCTCCTCGCATACATCCTCGTTCGCTGTTTACACAACAAAACGATCGGTATCACCGCTCTAATGATATATAGAGCTTCATTTTAGGCTGTCCTATATGCGCTAGAAACTCTGAGGAGTATTAAAGTTAAGCTCATTTGTAAACTTTGTTGATTGAATGGTTTTCACTTTGTGATGAATTCCCTTAAATACCTATTAGTGAGGAGAGCCGTTGTGCTCTTTTGCATTTAGGTGCTCTACTATAGCCACACTATAGCGTGCCCAAGGCCTTTGCTATAGCGAAGGCTAAGAAGAACAGCCAAGATCTTCTTAGCCTTCTGTCATTCATTTTTGAACATAGGTATCTTTCAACTCCTTTTATTGATATCTTTTATGATCTACATACTTCCAATTGGTTCCGGAAAAAGAATAGATTTTCTACTAGTCTTCTACACATATCATCTGTGGTCTTTCTCTTAGTCGTCACCTTTGTAAGGTCACCAATGTATTGAGACGTTTCAATGTTGACCTTTTTGCCTAGCAGTGTGATCTGCGAAGCTCCATTTGGTCATAAGTTACCTTACAAGGTCATAGGTTACAAGATTTTCTGATTCATTTCCTTGCTTCTTAGATTTGGTTATGAATATGGCGATATCTACATGTAATTTCTTCATGTCAAAGAGAAATTCACTTAATTTTTTTGATATTTCTTTTATGTTCCAAGTGCATAAAATCATTTTCCGTTTTCGTAGCTTGGTTCGTTTCTTTTCAATCTATTCTCTTCGAATCTTTGAACTGGGTTTTGCAGAAAATTATTTTTTCCATAGGGTAGGAAACTGGAACTGACAGTGGCAACTGGGAAGCTACTTAATTCACTCCAGAACAGCCCCAGAGAGAGTTTGAGAAAATTAAGCTCTCACAAATTGTTATGTTTGTTCGCTTACCTATGATTTTATTTCAAAATACTTCGTTCGTAATAATAAGCATTAATAATTATTTTTTGTTGACAACGTATTTGTAGTTGTTTCAAGAGAAGTTTTTTTTTTGGCATCTTTACAACCATTTACTATAAAATTTTTGATATTTTAAGCTTCAACATTTATTTTAAACATTTATACAGCTTTGACGTATACATTTCACAAACTCTGAACTTTTCTATCAGTTGTGCCAGCGCTTATTCCAGATCAGTAGATACCGCTGATTATACCTCGAATGAAATGTCTCGGGAAAATTCTCTCGACTGAAGAAAATGAAACCAAAGTAAGCAACTAATCTGATTTTCAGAATTCCTGTGCAAACATTTAAAGCAGGTGTTTCTCAGGAATTGTACAAAGATTTTCTAAATTAATCTGCCGTGTTTCTAAAGCTAGTCTCAATATTTACGTTTTGAGTTTCTTTGAAGTTACTACACTAGATTTAATATCTAAAATATTTCTGCGTACACCGGTATTTATAATTATTTTAGTTACTCTCAGATTCATATCTTACTCTGAACTTAAAATGTTCTAAAGAGGTTTAAGTATTTTGGTACTCATTTAGATTTCTCTTAAATCTGGGAAAATTGTAGACGTGATGTAGTTTATGTCACTTTGTTTTTGCTTAAATGATATAAATGTTTGTTTAGCAGTAAAAGATTAAACCAAATTTTAAAATAAAACAGAAATATTTTAATACTAATTTAGTAATCATGGTCATTCTGCTTGTTATTAACAATTTGTAATTTTACACTATTTGGCCATTAAATATCTCTAAAATCGTCGGAAACACAAACAAAACAAATTGTTTCAAGTAACTTTAAATTGTTTTTAAGTAAATTTTAAGTAAAATGATGCTTTATTAATGAAAACTTATCATGTGTCCGGACAAACTAATGTTAATAATTAATGTTTCCTCCACGTGCTAAATTCTCCTTGGTATGCCTAAAATCAAATGAGAAATGTCCTGTTAAGGAATTATTTCATATTTCTCCAAAAGGGCTTCTTGTAACTGATTTAACGTTAAAGAAACAGGATGCTTCACCCAAGCATGTGCCAAACATGTTTGAGTTTGCCTCTGGACTCAATGCTGGCCAATCCATTACAGGAATTTTTACGTTATTTCAAGAACAAAATAATAACAATAGAACATCAGCAGCTACCTTTGCACTATTTAAATTTGATAAGAATAGTATATTCTCTATTTCTGATTTGGTATGCACTTTTTTTCGCATAAGCACCAAGTTTTAGTAGAAATTACTTAAAAACAGTTTGTTTGGTTTGTGTTTGCGGTATAATAATAACAGTTTAAAGAGAATTTAAATTTTAGTGTAGATTTATGGAATATGTTATAAAAGAAATGTCTATAAATGCAAAAAATATACTGTTGCTACATAAACTACAGGTCCCTCCTGCTGAATTTATTAGACTCACCATAAAAATTTCAGTTATTTTTAATTTCAATCGCACTGAAAGTATGTTTACTTGGATACTATGGTGTTAAAAGAGTTGCATAACTATTGGGTACATAGTTACGTAGATGTTATAGATTTTTTGTGCTCAAAGTGCTCAAAGTGTGGAGTTGAGCTTTTTACTTACAACATAGATGTGTATCTAAATCTCATCCATTACTACTCTATTAGAGAATACAGCACTTAGTCAGAGAGAGATATCACGAATATGGTGTATCTCAGTCGTCAGTAAAAATATTGAGCTAAAAAAAAGAGAAGTAACCTGTGACGTCGGTTCCCAAGAGCTAGTGTGACAAAAAAAATAAGTTGTAAGAAGCAGGATGCTCAGTATCGGTTGCTACCGTACGCCGAAATTTGTATGGCATGGTCTTCAAATGTCGTAGGTATGTTATAGTTTATTTTTATGAACGAGAGAGTAATTAGCATAATTTTAACTGGTACCTCCGGCCACTCCATGGGCGTGCTCAAGATTAATTGAAAAATTACTTTGAATAATTGTAAAAAATAAATGAATTATTTCAGTGTTATAAAGTGTTATGTGTATGTAAACAAAAGTGACCTCTTTTATCACACACTATATTAGAACTGACTGGCCTACATTAAAAAGGGTCTTAAAAAATTCACATTTTTTTTAATTTTTAAAAATTACAAACGAGAAAAAGAGTTTTTAAAACCGTCGAAGGTATGTTAAATAGATGAATAAAAATATTAATATAAAACTTACAGCTACTTGTTACAAATCCAAATCAGATTCAGAAGATGAACTTTCAGAACCAAGATTTATAATAACTGGCTCAATCATTTTATCAGTAATATTGTCCAGCTTCCACATTTTTTTCCTCTTCTTTAATAGTGTGATTTACTGCCTTTTCCCAGTTTTCAGGTTTTACATTATTTACGGCCTCCAAAAACAACTGTTTAACATCATGAATTTTAAAAGTGGTATTTTTTCTTGAAACTTCACTCTTTATCTGTGCCCATACCAGTTCAATCGGGTTTAATTCACAATGATATGGTGGGGATCTAAGTACTGTCATTCCACGATTTTTGGCAATTTCATAAATTTCGTATTTTTTTAATTTTTCTTTATGAAGGGCACACAACGAATAAAGTTCCTTTTTTATAGATCCGGGATGGTACGTAATATTTTTTGAACTCAGCCAATTCTGCAAGTCTTTTTTTAACCACTTGGTTGTGGGCAGTCCTTCTATAAGTCTGGAGTGATAACTTGCATTATCCATTACTATTACACAGTTCTTAGGAAGAAGATCTATCATTTGTTCGAACCATTCTTGAAAGACATCAGCGTTCATGTCTTCATTATAGTCACCGGTACGAGTTGATTCAAAAGTTAATAAACCACCTTCAACAAAACCGTCTCAACTGCCAATGTGTACTATTATCAGCCTGCGTCCCTTTCCTGATGGTGGGTTTAAACCAGTAGATAAGTTATTTACAAAAGCGTGCCTTTGACTTGTAACAGTTTCATCCTGCCAAAATTTATTTGGTGTATGACCCTCGTTGATCCATGTTTCATCAAGATAAAATATTTTTCTTTTTTGGTTTCTCATTTCCTTCATGGTTCTTAGAAAATGTCTTCTCCATATGACAATATCGCTTCTTTCTAATAAAATAGACTTTCTGGGATTCTTTTTCCAGCGGAAGCCTATTTCTTTTAACAGTTTCCATAACGTACTTCGACTCATTTCTGGGTAATCCTTATCATCTCGAACTGAGACAAGGACTTTATCCAATGTTGGAAATTCTTGTCTAAAGAAGAATTCATGCACTTTCCGTCAAAGTCCTTCTTTAAAATGATATTCTATTTGAAATTTTGGTTTTCCTGGAGCATTACATGGCATTTGAAAACTACCACATTTCTCTTCATTAATAACTCTGTAAATCGTAGATTTCCCAACACCAAGTGTACTGCTAACTAACTCAACGGTCTCATCAACACTTTCACATAAACGTTTGTCTGTAAATGATTTAAAACAATTAAATATTAATGTTTTTTCATTAACTGTTAAAGGACCAATTTTTCGGCGTTTACACGGCACTTCCAAATTTTCCATAAGACTAGTATACACAATAAACTGCACCTTGCAACTGAAGTACCTACTTTTAGTGAACTGTTAAGAATTTTGAATACGCCACTTGGACCTTCCTACAAAATGGAAAAACCCACTATCACATTTTCTGTGGAATAAGTTTAGAAGGTAATTATCTAGTCAATTACTGTCGTAGATTCCTGGAATTAAAGAATTAAATGTATGATTGTTGAAACCCTTACTTCATGGAATGCACTCATTTTAAATAAAATAAAACGTTTTATTTTATCTAAAGAATTGAACTTTATTTTGCAAATAGGTAGGTACTTATTAAACTTTTATTGGTTATATATAACCAATAAAATAAACATCTTACATTTCTTGCAAATTCATTAGTACCTGTTAACCTCCATCACTCCGACACTGGCAACCTTATTTAGGGATTAGTAACCCTCACAACTATTGTATTCTATTCTGCTCCAACCTTTATACCTGGTGGTCATACTCAATTTAAAATTGTTTTCCTATATATTTCTGTAAACTTGTTGACAAATATCTGTTTTTCATTGAGTCACCCGTATCAACAGTTTAGGGATTTGCATACATAATTTATTGTTTTATTACTCTCTCATACATAAACATACACTATAAGAAGCCAAAACTAACATCACAAATGCTCAAAAAATACATAGATTGGGCCAACATCCATAAAGACTGGTCTATTGATGATTGGCAAAAGTTAAATTATTACAAATCATTTTATTTTCGCACATTAATAATTGTTATTCACACTCACATGTTAGCTTCAGCGATGAAGCCACTTTTCAAATTATGTATGACCCGTCCCAACTTGTACGAAGACGTCCAGGGGAAAAATATGAAAAGGGGTGTGTAATTAATACAATTAAACATACCACCTTAGTAATGATATGGTCGGTGATTCATGGCAAAAGTATGGGACGTTTGTATATCATAGAAGGAACCATACGACAAGACCAATATAAAAGGATTTTGCAGGCAAGATTGCCTCCACAAGTAAACAAATGGTTTGGTCATAGACATAAGATATTTGTGCAGGATGGAGCACCTTGCCTTGCCATACGGCTAAGAGCATTAAAATTTTTTTGTTAAAACAAGAAATTCCTTTTTTACCATAGCCTTGCAACTCATCAGACATAAATCCCATTGAAAATGTATGACAGTGCCTAAAAAGAGGGTTAGGCAAGTAAATAATTACCAAAAAGGTAGGTCCAGTTGATAGAAAAAATCATTTTCCATTGTTATCACACCAAAAATTAAACAAAAATCGCAGAAAAATGCATAAACAGCATACCTAGGAGAGTGGCTGTAATATTTAAAGCCAAGAGTAGTTTAACAAAGCATTAATATTATAAATCCGTAAAATAGTTTCGAAACACAATTCAGATTTCTGCTTTATCTGAACCTTCTAAAAATTGCAAGGTATTACAGACGTTGATAAAGATGTTAAAAGAGGCATGGGAAATCTAAAATTTGCATTCCACGACATGTCTCTTCAACTAAGCAGAAATCCTTAGCGAATTGGTTTCTTGTACTCGTACAGAGTAGATCTGAATAAAATGAAAAAGACAGCAAATATTTGATTTCACGCAAACAGCGTCTATGTATCTGTTGATACGTATTTCGACCTAATAGGTCTCATCAGAACAGTTATTCATAGGCGTTCTCAACGTGAAAAATCAATATTTTCTGTCTTTTAAGAAGCAACACTAAAATGGCTTCGA